CTTCCTGGCGGTGTGCAGCTGCGCCGTGAGGTAGGCCACGGTGCGGGCGCGCTGCTCCAGCTCGGCCGACAGCACGCTCAGCCTGTGGCTCTTCACCTTGAGCTCCTCCAGGTACTTCTTCTCCCGCTCTCTCATGGTGTTCTCCAGCACGGCGATCAAGGCGTTCTTCTGCTCCAGCTCGCGCAGCAGCTCGCCATTCTCCCCCTCCTTAGCCTGCAGCTGGGCCTCCAGCTCCTCGCAGCGCCTCCTGAGCTCCGCGCTTCTGGAGGCTGCGTCACCTGCAGGGGCGAGCGGCCGGGTGGGAGGATGGGGGATGGGGCTCATAGCCGGCCTCAACCAAAACCAGAACAAACCTCGGAACCCCAGCAGATTCTGGGGGTAAAGTGAGGGGCAGAGACACAGACACGTGGCCTGAGGCCACCCTGAAGGTTAGACCGAGCTTGGAGCCCGGCCTGGGGCCCGGGAGGACTGAGCCCCTCAGTTTTGGGCTTCCTCTCTGGGTAAGCGGTTTCTTTCCTGATTGCAGAGGGATGCATATTAATTGTAGGAAACCCTGAGACTCCAGACAAGCTTGGAAGAGCCCGAAAGAGGTGCTGATGGGAAGGAAGCAGTCACTCATCCCCGGCTCCGGAGCCCTGCAGGCCCCGCTCCACTCGTCTTCTCCCAGAGAGCCCCAGTTCCCCAGGATTTCTTCCAGCAGCGTGGCCAGGGACAAGGACGGCATGGTCATGCCTCTCAGGAGAAAGCCATGTCCCTGCCAGATCTGGGGAGGAATTTTTACCTGGCTGTTCGGAACTCTTGAGTGTCAGCTCATACGTTAAATCTGAAAGGGAAACTTCACATTAGTGTCATCATAGCGTCCTTCAAAACCTTCCAGGGCTGAGTCTGGGGCCAGCAGCAAGCCCGCCCGGAGCGAGCCAGTGAGGGCACTGCAGACAGGTGGCCGGGAGGCCCTTCCCCACCCCACACATCCAACCTTGCTGGGCATCTGAGCACTCGCTCCTCCTTCCGTTCTGCACGCTACATCCCGGGACTCACCCCAGACCGCACGGTCAGTTCCAGCCGCTCACTTCAGTCTGCGTCCTAGCATCCCCGGGAAAGGCTCTGCAGCTTTTCACTCAGTGTGCTCTGTTCAGCGGTGCGGGTGAGAGGGCTGGCGGGCTTGGGAGGGGATGGGGTGGCACAAGTGGCGGTGTGGGGAGCAGGCATGGCTCCTAGGTTTTGTTTTGCTTTGCTTTATTTGTGGTGCTGGGGATTAAACCCAAGGCCCCTGCACTGAGCTATATCATCAGCCATTTTAAAATTTTGGGACAGGACCTGGCTAAGATGTTAAATTGCCTAGGCTGGGCTGGGACTTTCAGTCTTCCTGCCTCAGTCTCTGAGAGTACTGGGACCACAGGCATGCTCCGCCATGGCCAGCCGGCTCTGCTGCTGACCCCCTGGCCTCTGTCCCCACACCTGTGCAATGCTGCTGCAGCCGCCGGATCTCGGCATGCAGCCCTTTGAGCGTGCTGGCGTGCTCCCGCTGCAGAAACAGGAGGTTCTTCTGTGCGCTGTGCAGCTGGTTCTCCAGGTTTGTGGTCGCCATGCTGACATCCAGGTGACCTGAAGGAAACACAGACCCTGGTCACAGGAGCAGGAGTGGGGGCTCGGGGTGCACAGGTGCAGCCTTCCAGGAGGACGCAGATGGAGCCGGTGGTGGAGCTAGAGGGGAGGTTTGGGGCTCAGGCAAAGCTGAGCCCAGGCGCTGAAGCACCTTGGTGCCCCAGGCCTCGGTGTACTCACCGGCACCAACCCTAGCTCATGCGCCAGGTGCAGTCAGTACTGGGACCCAGGGAGGAGACAGTCATGGGAGACACATAACAGCGGTCTGTGCACAGCAGATTCAAACCCAGGACCCGATTCCAAGTCCATCCAGTCCACATGCCACCTGACTCAGTAGGCTGGAACATCCCAAAGCCCCCAGACAAGCAAGCACCCGCAGGTCCACGCGGAGGACCTGGGGCCCGGACTGGGCTGCACCGCTCTCTGGTGACACCTGGCTGGTCAGATCCAGAAGGGAGGAGGAGAGCAGCTGCAGGATGCTGCAGGAGGAGCCCAGGTCTCCCCTGGTGTGTCTCATGCCATGGCCCAGCAGGTGCGGAGTGACAGCCGACCTGGGCCTAGGGCTGTTCTCCAGCCTTGGTGCTTGCCTGCCTGCCTGTCACTGGTCCTCCCCAGGGCTGGTACCGGGCCTGCCGCAGCACACTGTGGTGGCGATCTTTGAAACCAGTTTTCAGACATTGACTCTGGCCCGTCCTACCCACATCAGCCTCCCCACACCTGACCGTGGCAGATAAGCTTGGCTCCATCCTCTCTCGCCTCCTGCTTCCACTCCCCACACGGCAGCCAGAGGGACTCAGAGTGGCCCACACTGTACACACAGATCTACACCCTGCGACTGCAGAGGGAAAGTAAATGCGGTGCATCTTGGCCACGCTCCCCAGCCAAGTGAGGCCGGGCTCCGGAACATCACTGCTGCGGGGAAGCAGGACCCCAAGCCAGGGAGCAAGACAACAGAGGCCCGCAGCCACCCCAAAGGCTCAGCGGCCCATCCTGCCTTCAGTCCCAGCAGTATCCTGGGAGGCTGGGTGCTGGTGGGGCTGCGGGCCTCGGCAGGGCTTCTGCAGAGTAAGGCCGGCCCGGGGAGAAAGAGCGAGTCCCCTGCGGCACATGTCCCCACCCCGACCCCTGCAGGTGGCCAGTCCACGGCCAGGGCCGAGTCAACGTTAGGCAGTCCTGGGTGGAAACAGTGCTAGGCTTGGCCACGAGCTGCCAGACACCGGGCTGGTGTTCCCACTTTTCAGAACACCTTTCCTTTAACGCCTCCCCTGTATGCGCTCACACACCTGTCCGTGTGGGGACACTTCTGTACAACACATCCCTCTCTGAGCGCTAGGCCCAAACCCCGCAGGCTCCCCTGTGGGCTCGGGCCCCTGGCATCTCCACGCCCCCAGCACAGGCCCCTGGCAGCACAATGCCGCCCTCCGCTGATGGACTTCCATTCTTCCCTCACATCTCACTCTCGAATTACGTATGTGCTTCAGATGATTTTATCCTGCTTCATAATGGCACCGAGTGGGGAGCTCAACCAGAATTATGCTGCATTAATCAAAAGCACTGCAGCAGCATTGATTTGGACATGACCTCATCCTGCAATTTCTCAACAAGCCGTAAGCAGCATTTTAGACGCCTACACTTCTCAGACTAAGCGATGGCAAGTCATCAGTGGGAGAGCGTCTCGGCCCTCAGAAACAGAGCTTCCTCCTTTCCTGCACTACCCAGAGCAGATCCACGTTTCAGGTGGACACAAAGCTGGCGTGGAAATCGGGGAAGGACTTCAGACTCTGAAAGCAGCACCCAGCACGCAGCTGGTGCTGTGGAGGAGTGACAGCGAGCTATTTCAGCCGGTGGCTGTGAACAAGTCATAAGCCATTCACTTTGCTTCTCTCCCAGGCAGGGGGCTGGAGCCCACTTTCTGCAGGCCCAATCCTGGTCCCCCAGGGTCCCTGCCTTGGGCTTGGGAACCTCTGCGGGCTTTAGGGGGAACTTTCTGTACTGCTCCGGTGTCCTACAGCTTGGGCGCTGCCATCAAGAAAATGGCAGCTGGCCAGGGACAGAGGGAGTGGCTGTGAGGTGAAATGTGTGAGGAGGAGGTTTCCCAAGTGAATGCTCGCTCGGAACTGGAGGACACAGAGGACAGAAGGAAGCTGCACCTTAACCCCCAGCAACCAGTCTCGGGGCTGAGAGACTGAGGCCCAGCTGGGTAGAGTGGTGCACCTCACTCGGAACCCAGCACTCAAGGCTGAGGCGGGAAGATGGCAAGTTTGAGGCCAGTGTGGGTGACCACTGAGACCTGGTCTCAAAGAATCAAAAGAAAAAGCAGAGAGGCCAGGCATGGTGGTGCACGCCTGTAATCCCAGCACTCGGGAGGCTGAGGCAGGAGGATCGCTGTGAGTTTGAGACCAACCTGGGCTACATAGTGAGTTCCAGGTCAGTCTCAACTACATAGTGAGACCCTGTCTCAAACAAACAAAACAAAACAAAACAAAAAAACCAGAAAAAGCAAAAAAGAAGTAAAGAAGGATCAACAGAGGGCCCATGGTCTGTTTAACACAACAGAACAAAAGACAGAGTGAACAAACTTGTTAGAGGGTGGCCTGTGTTTGGGGTGAGACTGAACCCCTTGTAGGCTGAACTTCAGTCGTGGCGCTGGCCACGTCACAGGGGTGCTAACCGTACTGGACACCCAAGGCCCGGTGCCTGGCACATAGGTATTAGCTTACTACTTCTTACAGCATTTGCTCAGCACTTCTATAAATATACTTCCTGTTCACTTGGTCCTAGTAGAGTTGTTTCCTGAGTATCATCCATGTACGGAAATGAGCTAGCAAGGAGATTCCAGTTACTTCCAAAGAGGGAACTACAAAAGCAACAGAAGCACTTTCTGGCCGACGGTAGCCATTCAGGGAAGTGAACATTCAGGGAAGCCAGGCAGGGCAAGGTGAGACCTACTTCTTCCTTTGAAACCTTGAGGGGACTCCAGGGGGGCTAAAAATGGCCCACAGCTAACTAGGCCACTGGCTTTGGATCCTAAACACTGGCTCGTAGAATAAATCCTTGCCATGTCTGAAAATTAAACTGATGTTATTCTAACTTCCAAATAGCCCGGATAAATACACTGTTTTAAATTGTAGGCTACTCCCATTCTTACTTGGGCACATATTTAAGAAATTTAACTAGTAAGTGATTTGAAAATCTCAAAGTTAGGACTATAACTTTTCGAGGATGGGCAGGCATTCTACAATGACTCCAGAAATATTTTGGTAAAAAGAGTGAATATCATTCTAATGTGGAGGCAAAAAATGTTGAAAGCAAAAGGCACAAGTGTTTTTCAAAAAGGCAAAATATCATGTGGTAGCCATCTTCCGGAATCGGAGTGTGCATGGGCCCCTGTATTCTAACCACATCCGGCTCCATCCGGCTTGGTGCAGGAGTGGCCTCGCAGAGAGGGGTCCTGGCGTGGTGCCGAGCAAAGGCGGGCCGGCCTTGCCTGTGAGTGGGAGGGGAGAGACATCTTGGAGGGACACCCAGTGGGATGCACCACTCTCTGGGGCACAGTGGCCAAGGACTGAGGGGGAACTCACCCAAAGGCGGCAGCTTGGTGTGGAGAGGCTCTGGGGGGCCGGGTGGCAGCATCTTATAATCGGTCTGTCTCTAAAAGCGAACGGAGGAGAGCTCCAGGAGAAACAGACCACACACACAAAGTGATTGGAGTATCTGTCATAAGAGGCTAGGTGTGGCAGAGCACAGCTAAACCATGCAATAATGAAAATAACAGCTGTTTACCCATAAGGAAATACGTCTGTGATAGGTTAAGTTTAAAAGCATGTTAACAGCTATGTATACAATATCACACACACATAAATATATACATCCAGGGACAAAAAAATCTAGAAAATATACACCAAAATATAAAAAGCACTTTTCCTTTTCTCTACATGGTAGACTAATGACTGTCTTTTATTTCTTACACCTATGTGTGCTGGTAATCCCTAAAGCTTTCTTTTTCTTTTTTTTGGTTTTTTGAGACAGGGTCTCACTATGTAGTTGAGACTGACCTGGAACTCATTACGTAGCCCAGGTTGGTCTCGAACTCACAGCGATCCTCCTGCCTCAGCCTCCCAAGTGCTGGGATTACAGGGGTGCACCACCACGCCCAGCCCTCTAAAGCTTTCTTAATGATGAACACATACCTTATAGTCAGAAAAAATTATGAAGTAATTTCTCTCTAACAAGGTAACCCACTAATAAAGTGGTAACGTGCTTTCATGATATTATTCCAGGGTAACCTTGGATTGCCAGAACTGTGATTAGTTTACCAGAATCAAGAACCAACGAGGAAGCAGTGTTTATAATAGCAGCAATTTGGTGTCCCCAAGCTCCACAGAATGTGCCAGTGACGACCACTGGTACCTCCTCTCCCTGGCACTGCACACTGTGGTGGTCCTCTGACATTATCCATCATCAAACACAAGGCCCACCACATTTCTTCGATACTGATGGCCATTTCCTCCTGAGAGAACACACTGCCCGGCATTAAGGTTGTAACAGATGTGATTAGGGAGATGGCAATGAGACATGGAAACAGGATCTGCCGACTGTCTGGGAAGCCTGCGGCCCCTGGGGCCTGCAGGATGGATTTATGAACCTGCGCTCCCATTAGCTCATACGCTAAGAGTTTCCATTTGCCTTCTATTTAAAACCACGCAGTCCACACAGCGATTAGGGCTTGGCCCCTGAGTGCAAATGTCCGCGCTGGCCCAGGGCTGCCAAGGTGGGCACGTGGCGGAACTCCCTCCCTCACTGGTGCCTGCAGGGCATGTCCTGGGCCTCAGGGAACACAAGCTACCCAGGGCAGAGCACCCACCCGCACCGTCTCTGACCTCAGAGCCAGGTGGGCGGGTGTCCAGGCCTGGGTGTGCTACCCGGACACTCAGCCCAGCACTGATTCACAGACCTCTGAGCCCAGAGGCTCCTGGGAGGAGGCAGCTTTGCCAGGCCCTTCCCACTCTCCCTGCTTCCCCTCCTGCCCTCGCTGGGTAGCCCCTCTGAGGAGCACACAATAGCGCTGTTTCCTAAGCTGCCGCTGACGTGTAGCTGCACACAAATGTCACCGGGAACTGCTTGGCCAGGATGACCCTTAGCATCACGATAGTTTAAGGGCATGAATCTCACAAGTTACCACACAAATAATTCTGCCTATGATGTTTTCCCTAAATGGAAGGGAAAATAGGCAGGTCACGTCCAATGAGGGTTTCTGTTCCCATCACTGAAGATTTTAGCTGTCTACTGCTTGCTCAGTTATAATGACCCCAAATGCCAAACTGCCTTTTCACACTGACCAAGTAGGAAATACTTCTCAAGTCTTAGTGCTTGATGATCACAATCTAAATTGTAATTCCCGGGCCAAGAAGATGTATCCATTTGCTTTAAAAATCTCTATGTGGGCTGGGCGTGGTGGCTCATGTCTGTAATCCCAGCACTCAGGAGGCTGAGGCAGGAGGATCGCCTTGAGTTCGAGACCAGCCTGGACTACATAGTGAGTTCCAGGTCAGTCTCAACTACATAGTGAGACCCTGTCTCAAAAAAAAACAAAATCTCTATGTGGCTTGCTAAATGTGAACCCTTCATCTGACCTACGCAATGGGTTCTGTGTCTGTTTCGCAAGCACGCCTAATTACAGTATAGGTTTAAGGACAAGAAAGTATTCATTAACTGAAGCTCATACGTTTCAGTGTACAGAAGTAGATGGCTCTATGCACTACATGCATATACTATACACTTGCCGCACTTTCTCAGAAAAAGGAAAGCAGTTAGTGGCTGCATTAGACAGAAGAAAACACTTACTCTTTTTTACCATTTACCATGTCCCTAGGTCTTCATTTCCTAGGACTTCCTGTGGGTGCTTTAGCATGGGCGCTTAGGGCCACCTAAGTGACCCTTTGACGTCCCACCTGGTGAGCTGACAGCCCCACAGGCAAGTCACTTCTTTAGTTTCCTACCCATGAGCTTACTGTGCCACAGAGAGTGACCGAGGCCCGCTGGCCGGTGACCTTGCAAGATTGACTGCGGTGTTCCTTCTGCTCAGTCTCCCTCTGTTACATCAGGGAGCAAGAGAACTTCCAGGCTCTCAGATTCCAAGTTTGCAGTATCTTGTGCAGGAAGTTCCAGGGGAGAAGAAACCCCCAAACATGTCCATCAGGAAGGGCTGTCACTAACACGCTCGAGCCACCAAGACGCAGATGAGGGGTGGGTAGGTTATTTTAGGGCTGCTCTTTGCTACCAACTTTGGGCCATCTTACATAAATGAGGCACTGATACACTAACCCAGGAGAAATAAATGAAACTGAGTGAAGAACAAACGAGGCTAGACACTGGATTCCACTGATTATAGATCAGCACTGGGAGGAAAGGAAGAAGCTGGAGAAACAGTCCCATACTCACTGGGACTTGAAGGAATGGGGGGCCTCCCAGCACCTTCTAATCCCTAGGGCCCCTTATCTTGATAAAGGTCACTGGTTTCCATTCATGCATTTGTCACTTTTTCCCTTTGTACGCAGAACTGCCTTTGGCTCATTTTCCTTATATTTGACTTCTTGATCCCACAGTGGGATTAATTATAATCCTTGGTTGTGGCAGTCTTTCAGGGCCCACTTTGACTAATAAGCACCCAATGTACCCACACTGTGGGAGCTTAGCAACTTGGGGTGAAAGTGTGCAGGTTTTCCATTAGGACTTCAGGATTCCTAGGCTGGACGAGTTCCTGGTTGATCCAATTCTGGGTATACCAATTGGTCAGTCAGGAGCCCAGGAGTTGGCTTTTTCCTCCAGTATTCAGAAGGGGCAGGGTGGTCACCGCAGGTTACACGTGGAAGCCACTTTCTGGGCTGGTTTTGGGAGAACCAGTGCTCAGGAGAAGCGGCATCTATGCAGGTGCCTGAGACACCTGCCTCGTGAGGCAAAGAGCTACTGCCCTGAAAAGCTGAGCATGACCAGCACTTCTACCCTGATAGCACCTCTGGGCAAGAGTGCAAGGGCACCGTTTAATCACAAGATGATAGTCATTAATCAGTAATGAGGGCTACTATGGTCTGTGTCAGGCTCCCAGGCTCAGAGTCACTTAGTTCCTGAAAAAGAACTCACCGCATTTACAAGCAGGAGAGCTAAATGCAAATCTGATTCCCGAGGCCAGTGCCTTCTCTGCCCCAAGTCTTCCTGGCATATCAGTCTCCAATTCCCAACTTGTGGCACTTGGAACTGAAAGGTCGTGTTGCCTCCTTCCTAAAAGAAATGGTCACTTCTGGTTGTTTCTGTCATTCTAAAAACAGGGTCCACACTTGGCCAACAAGGAGAGTTCCCATGCTGCTGTCCAGATGGTCACCCTTGTTACCGCTCACCTTTCTGTGCCAGTACTGTGCCGAGCGCCCCCCATGCCCATCTTTAAATCTCCAGGCAACTCTAGAAAGCTGTGCTTATCTCTTTACCTCTGGAGGGGAAACTGAGGCAAGAGCTTGGATAGTTGCTCTATTGGGGGCACATGTGAGCTTGGTGTTTTCCTGGTGCTCTGGAGTTCTTCCCTTTGGAGGGGGAAGAGGCACTAACACAGGGCTACGTAATGAATCATAAACAACCGAGTCTCAAACATCCAATGACAGACTTCCTGCTGGTGACTTCCTGTGGGTTCTGGCCCGGCTGAATGGACACACAAGTCCACACTATCCGGGACCTACAGCAACAGGCAGGGATGGGCATCTCGACAGGCACAGCTGGCTGCCAGCTCTCACTCACTGTGCAACCTCTGTAGCTGCACCACTGCAGCAGGGACGGGGACGCTGCACTGCTGGAATCACATAACAATTCTATTCCAAGGAACATAATCTTCACACTAGGCCATGTTACATCCTCACAGTGCTTATCACTATCTAAATTAGGTCATTTGTCTTTCTTACCTAACTAGTGTGCCAATTCTATGAGAACAAGGCCTGTCTGTCTTGCGCCCTGATGTTCCCCCAGCACTTAGAATAATGAAAGCCTCCAGTCACCTGAGCCTAAAGTGCGGCGGTGACCTCATGCAGCCTCTGGGTCACTGTGGACGCGTGGGTGAGGGCCTGCGATGGCTCTCTGGCTGGTGGGAAAGCGTCCGATAAAAAGACTAAAGAATCATCAAGCCAATTAAAAGCTGAAGTTTCCTTTCTGTGGGAAGGAAAGCGTGGCTGGCTTGGGAGCTTCTGCAGGGTCCGTGACGTATGCATCTTGATAGCTCCGGCCGAGACACCTGGGCAGATTCTCGGTGCTGGCCACATCTGCACGGCAGCTAACCTCAGGTGTGGCCAATCCCCACACAAGGGAAAGGTTTGTGCATTAGGAGCTCATCAGTGGTGCCAGGCTCAGAAATTCAGGAAATGCTCATGCTAAGCCTTGATGATGCTTTTCCTGGTCTGTGATAAAATGAGAAAAACAAGGACAGACAGCACAGTTTTCCATAAAGCTGACTTTATTTGACTCAAAAGGAAGTTCCTTATTTTCAGAACTGTCCAAATAAAAAAATGCACTGTTCTGTGACTTCTAAAGCTGGCGACCACTCACGGCACCAAGAGGTTATGGTGATCACCAGGAGCCTAACATCATCAGGGCTGTTTTCAAAAGCAACTGAGCCTCCCTCTCCCGGTGGGCTCCAACTGTGTTCTCAGCCCCCTGCTTCCAATCATGTGGGCACAAGAGGCTCAGCAGCTGAGGTATGAAGAAAACATGAATCCTCAAGAGGTACACGCGCCAGTACGTGCCGCAGGGGAAGGGGATGGAGGAGGCACACCCATGACAGCACCATGGCTCTAGATTACCTGCCTGTCTTCCCGTTGCCAGCACCAGACCGAGTGAATCCCCAGAGGGCAGGGCTGGGTCTCAAATATCAGCATTCTCCTTACCTGAGGTGTTTCCAGGTACCAGGAGGCACTAATGACAAAGGTCCTATTGTGGGGAAGCTGGGACGAAGCTGAGGGATGGTGATGGCAGAGTGTGGCCAGGAGGAGGCCCGCATGGTGAGGTACATGGATGGATACTCAGAAGAAAGAGATCACGACCTGACACTAAACACACGCTCTACAGTGCAAGGGACAGAGGGCGCACACTGGCAGCTGCTCAGAAAGCTGAGGTGGGAGAGGTAGCACATGGGAAAAGCTGGGTTTTCACAAACTGCGGAGAAATTCCCAGGGAGGGGGTTTAGTCTGGAGGGGATGGAGCTGGACGCAGAGGCCAGGAGGTACAGAGGCCACAGGTCCCCACGCTCCAGGGAAAAGTACAATCACAGACACCTCCTACCGACGGCTGACAGGCTAGGCATGCACTGTATTGTGCAACACTCTAAGGGGCAGAGGAAACTGTTCCTACCTCGCACACTTTGAGGGAAGGCTGGACAATGTCTTCAGAGCTGCAGCCGGAGAATGGCAAGTGGGACTCTCCTGAAGCATGCGGGCCACTCAGCTGGCTGTACTGGGGCCTTGCATGCAGGGAAGGTGCCCGGCCCTTGCAAATGTGGGCACCCTGGAACACGGCTCGCCCCGCTCCCGCACTCGGAAGGCACCCAGAGGACTGACGGAGAGGCAGCCCCTATTATTCCCTAGAGGGCTCACTGAGTCACCTTCCAGAGTCTGTTTTCATCCTTATCTTGCTCTTCAGGCAGGGTTGGAAGCAAGTAGAATTTTACAGAAACAGAGCTTAGCAGCTGTGTGCTCAGGGACCTCAGTAGGAGGGACAGCCTGACTGTCAGTCTCTGCACAGTCTTTGTTTTTTTTTTACTTCATTTCAGCCCCAGATTCCATTTCCTCGAGTTCTCCTGCCCTTTCTGCATATTTTGAGTTGCAACCTTCTTATGTCTAGGTTTTTTTTTTTTGGGCGGGGGGGGGACGACGCTAATATAATTCCAGTGTTTAGTTTTGAAGGTACTGCTTGTGAAAACTTATCTGAGAATAAGAGAAATTGTTTCTTTTCTCCCGAAGCTGCAAGAAAGCAGATGCTACTGCAGGTGAGGTTAGGAAGCCAGTTCTGCTGAAGAACGCCAAGCTTACTCACTATTCCATTTGGAGACTTGCGTAAAAGTGTACAACTGTTCTGTTATTACAGAGTGAGTACTTTAGAACACTTGGGCTTTAGAAGTGCTGTGGAATCCTTTAAAATGGAACTTTTAACTTGAGAAAGTTTGCTTTAATTGGCTACCTCACTTGGAGATTTACTGTCTTTACAGTACAATTGAATATGACAGCCCTTGCTTGACAAGGCTGAAATTTTAGGGTTTCCTGGCTGGCTGGAGGAGAGGCCCCATATTCCTCTCTTCATACAGAACAGCAAAACAAAGGTAGATGCTGACCAATTTCTTCTTTAACGTGCTTTGGATTTTACCTACTTAAATCAACAGCTGGTGCTGTGACTGGTTATTTGGGTGGTCAAATATTGGGGAGCGGATGCTGGGACTCCTGTGTGTGCATCCCTACTCGGGGATGCGGAGGAGCTGGCCAGCATCTGCAGGCTGGCTCCCCGTGCCTGGAACACTTCTACATGAGCTGTTATTATTATTGGCTCAGACAATCTCCATAGTCACTGCTTTGTGGCTGATGCGAGATTCAGTGCTTTCTTTAATTCAAAGACTAGAAGGGATTAGCACATGGGTTTTCTAATTTGAGAGTTGTAAGTGGTCAAAATTAAGGAAGAGGACAATTTCCCTCCTGATGAACGCTACTTTGAATTTTATCAAACTACAGCACATAGCCGTGGCTCTCACTAGAGTTGACTGTGCCCCTCCTGGGGACACCTGACAATGTCTGGAGCCCTTCAGCGTTCTTAGAGCTGCAGAGGGGGTGCTGCTGGCACTTACTGAGTGGGGGCCGGGATGCTGCTAAATGGGCTCTGATGCACATGCTGCCCCACGGCAGAGGGCCTGGCCAAGGGCCAGCTGTGCCTCAGCCAGGAAGCCCAGGGTGAGGGTCAGCCTGCTTTGTGGGAAGCCACTTTCTCCTCCTGACTCAAGGTTTATGCTGCTCCCGGGAATGCGGAGCTTGCTGAAGGGACACACCTGGACTGTGCGGCTTCCTCCCTGTACCAGA